GCCACGCTCGCCGCTACACGCCACGATTGCCACGCCACGCTCGCCGCGCTCAATGCCGCGTTCAAAGCCGCGTTCAATGCCACGCCTAGCCCTAGCTGTCCCTGTGCCCCATCGCGCCTCACCGCCTCTGTCGCGCCCAGAGTTGAGAGTAAAAACTCAACGCCAATCGCCAGAAGTCATCTGCTTTCACGTTAGCGTTAGCGTTAACGTTTTTTTTTCCTCCGCCGTAATTTTCCGACGCAGCCAGCAGCGCGCCTGCTGCTGCTGCTGCGGGATGTGCTCGGCGGGGCGCGGGGGGACGGGTCGGCCGGGGTCAGCATACCGCACGTTCATAAGCCACCGGAGAACAAATATTTGGCTTGATGAGAGCACACCACAGTTAACCGCAAAAGCCGCAACGTCAACCGACTTGGAGCCACTGGTGCCTCGGCGCGCGCCCGCGCTGCGCCTAGTGAGTGTGTGTGTGTGGTGGAGATGGGGAGATTACAATCTACCGGTGTTTGTGCTGCGGGATAGTTAACAATCTCATATTCCTAACATTAAAGAATTAAATCCCCTGGACATTCAATTGGTCCGCGTGTCGTGCTTGCGGCGAGGCTGCCGTGCTGCCGCTGCATAGGGCCGTAATGACGCGGGCTCCTGACCCCTGACCCGACCTGTCCCCCGTGAAAGCGCTGACGTCTCTAACCGCCTTGTTTCTTCTTGTGTGTCTGCAGGTTGAGCTCGTGTCCGACTCCAAGCCCGGCCCCGCCCAGAGCGCCTCCCTCGTGGTCGACACGCGCCACGCCGTGCCCAGCACCCTGGGCTCCCGCGGCCCCACGGCCAGCTCCAGGATCCCGCTCTCCATCGCCGCGTCCTCGTCGGCCTCGTCCACGTCATCCTCCTCGCCCGCCCAACAGCCCAGCATGGCCGTGGACGCGGCCCTGCACCGCGGACCCTTCCTCATGCTCGCGCCCGTGCCCAGCAAGCGCCACGTCGCCGCCGGAGCCGAAAAGCACCTCAGCGACGCTGTCCGGAGACCAGCACCCCGCGCTGGAGCCACCTTCCTCGCCGTCGGCGCGGCCGTCGTCCTAGTCTCTCTCGCCGTCGGCGCCATCCTGGTGTGGCGCTGCCGTGGAGCCTTCTTCCGCCGCGGCGCCGGCGTCGTGGGTGACAGCTCGCCGTTCATTGGCGCCCTGGCCGTCGAGGAGGGCGACCTCCCTCCCTCCGCCATCAAGAAGTCGAGCGCCCTGAGTGCAGCCTTTACCGCGCCGCCCCCTCAGCCCGACATGCTGATGCCAGTCGTGACCCTCGTGTCCGAGGGTGACGTCAGCAGGCCATCCTCAACATCGCCGCCCTGCTCGACCCCATCGTGCCGAAGCTGTCCCCGAGGACCAACTCCAGTTGCTGTGTCGTCGCCGTCCTGGCGACACGTCAACATGGCGTCGTCGTGGACCTTCGCCCCGAGCCCGTCAAGTCCACTCCCCACGCCATCGCCCACTCCCGCTCGCTCCCCCTCGCCCGGCGCGAGAGTGTAGAGAGAGCGCGGGCGACAGTCAGCTGCCACGCCAAATGACCCTTACCGCACACCGGGTCGAGAGGGTAGATATTCACCTGTACAGCTGTCGTGGAATATGAACCCTCTCGTCTGTCGCGTGCGGATTCGAAACCAAAAATTTTAGATGGAGTGAGAGAGACAGAGACTTGTAAATAGCAATGTTGCCATGAAAGACAATCAAATGAAGCTGACGCGCGACTTGACGGAAGCAGGGATAGAAATAGGAGCTATTATTTTCATACCTAAGACCCCGACTGAAGTGAGTGTGTGTGTGAGAAATTAACGTGTGAATGTCAAGTCGAGGGGGGAATCGTGCCAGAGGAGTGTGTATGAGTTAGTACACATTAGTACACCCTATTTGTTGATGTCATTAGTTGGTACGCTATTAGTACCGGCCCGGGTGCACTAGTTATTATGCAAGTAATTTCCCCCTCGTGTCAAGTGAATGCACTAAATTTGTGTGATGCGATGGATAGAAACGTGATATATGATTGATCGATTGTGAAATTTTAAAATACAAAATTTAGGTATGAAATTTTACCTACGCAATTGCCTCTTTTTTCTCAAAACAAGGAAGCAAAATTGTAACTTTGCTTAGTTTGATTTTTTTTAAGACTAGTCTATTATTTGACAATTTTGAAGAAATTTAGTTTCAACAATCTCTCTAATATATCAGTTACTGTCCTAGCTACTTAGTGTTTAGTTACATAATTGTGAATCTCTGAGCTCAATAGTGTTTATGCAATATTGTGATTTAAGCTTGACAGCTGGAGAGGTTTGCAATTGACTAATTTAATTCCCATATTGGGAGCAAGAGTCAGTATTTGTACCCTAATATATTACAGATTGTAAATACAATATGTGTTTACGATTAATGTGTACATAAAACTTGAGGAGTTAGTGAGTTAAAAGCATATCGTCACTTTCCTTCTAGTTGCCTGTTAAAATTATTTGGCTGCTCTCAAGAGCTTGACATGTAAAAAGTGTTTTGTTTATAAAAGATGTTATCTTATTATTGTACATTGTTAAACCATGATGGGCAAAGCAGTCCCGTGAGAAATCTGTGAGATATTGCATACTTGTCAATAATAAAAGTGATAATTTATTTATTGAAAGAAACAACGCTTTGGTAATTTCTTTACACAAACCCAATAAGTGATGAACCAGAGCACAGTGCTAAGAGAAGTGAGACACGCACCGACACGCAGTACACAATTTAGCAGATTGAGGCAAACGGCCTGGGGCCCGTTACCTCTAAACAAAGTACCTCTAAAACGTCCATTACCTCTAAAATCAATTACCTCTAAAAAAGGTGGTGTCGAGTACCTCTAAAATTTTTGCCAATCGACGCAATCGACGCAATCGACGCAATCGACGCAATCGACGCAATCGACGCAATCGACGCAATCGACGCAATCGACGCAATCGACGCAATCCCCCTTTATCCCCCTTTATCCCCCTTTATCCCCCTTTATCCCCCTTTATCCCCCTTTATCCCCCTTTATCCCCCTTTATCCCCCTTTATCCCCCTTTATCCC